CTTGGCCGTGGAGGACAACAAGAGTGCATCGTCATGAACTCTGCTGGGATTTAAGACGGCCCAAATTATTTACGTGGTCGAAGTAAAGTGTTGTACATTGCACAGCCTGGTTGAAGCAGGCTCCTACTCAGGATCGAGTTGAGGTAGACCTGAATGTCACAGTAAGGCTATAGCCTATTCCCGCACCTCTATATCTACAATGTCTTGCTAGTTTCCTCTGCAGTACTGAGATCTGCGACTTCACTCTTTCCCGCATTGCCTAATCTCCGCTTCTTCAGGACGTTCTCGATAAAGGCCTCGCCTGCTTTGTAACTTGAGCGCACGAGCGGACCAGATGCGCAGTACAGGAAACCCATATCGAGAGCGCGCTGGCGCCAGAGCTCAAACCTGTCGGGGGTGACGTAGTCGTGGACGGCCATATGGCGCTTGGTGGGTCGCATGTATTGGCCAAAGGTTACGACGTCGACATTGTTTGCGCGGAGTTCTGTATGTGTATTAGTTTAGTCTGCTTGTACACTGGATGGTGTGGACATACCCCTCAACGCATGCCAGAGGTCCTCGTCCGTCTCGCCCAAGCCCAACATCATACTGGTCTTGGTGATAAGCTCTGGTCGTGCCTCCTTGGCCGATCGCAACACGTCCAGACTCTGCCTGAACTTGGCCCTCCGATCGCGGACAAACGGTGTGAGGCGTTCGGTCGTTTCGATGTTGTGCGCAAAGACGTCGACACCACTTCGTGCGACTACCTTGGCCATCTCCAGATTGCCTCCATAGTCACCACCCAGCAATTCGACTAGCTGTGTTGGGTTCTTTTGCTTGATCTTCATAATGGTTTCGGCGATGTGATGCGCTCCGGAATCTGCAAGATCGTCTCGATCAACCACTGTGATGACGACGTAACCCAGCCCCCACCTCCGCAACGCTTCAGCTGTGTTTTCTGGTTCGTGAGGATCCAGCGGTGGGGGCGCTTTGGATGTCTTTACGGCGCAGAAGCGACATCCTCGTGTGCATGTGTCTCCCATGAGCATGATTGTCGCAGTCGCGGCACTCTTTGAGCTTCCGCCCCAACAATCGGAAATGTTGGGACATCTTGCCTCCTCGCAGACTGTGGCTAGGTTCAGCCCTCGCAAGTCTTTCTTAATTTGCTTGTAGTTCTGGTTTGCGTTTGAGGGTATCGGCGTCCTCAGCCACTCTGGAAGTCGTGTGATGGTCTTCTTGCGGCCTTCTGGGCCTACCTGCACCGTCTTGATCTCGTATGCTTCGGCGGGGGAGAGGGGCGCCTCGGGGTTGACAAAGTCGCCGAACGATGGGCCGGCATTCAGTGTATCGCTGAAAGATGTCGCTGGCCGTGATCGCTTTGTGGGTGCTTCGGGTGCTGCGGTTTGCGGCGTATCGGAGGTCGTGGCAAAAGTTCTAAGCGGCGTCCTGGAGCGAGGGACAGCCTTTAATGTGGACGGGGAGAAGAGACATCGCGAGCGTGGTATTGAGGCTGCCATTATCGCGTATGTGTGAATGTGAAAGAAGAAAAAAGAAGAGGGAGGAGAGCGAGTGAGCAAGTGTGTCGAGTCTATGTTGGAGGGCAGAGCCTTGAATACCCGCACCGCATTGAGTTGCGCATTCCGAGCGCCAAGACCTGGAACATGCAAGAGCAGCCCACACGGCGACATCCCTGCAGGTGGACTCCCTCGCGCTGGTCGAGGGCATCTTCAACGTCGCCAATTCAAGACGGCCAGGCAATCAACACTGCGACTTACCCCCGACACCCCCACGTCTCCGCACCCACCAGTTCCAATTGCAAGGCGGCATTTGGACACATTTACACACGCCGTCGCAAAAGGTCACGTTAGGCGGAGGAAGAGCGGGACAAGTTTACACACCTGCGGAGAGAGCTAGCCGTTCGGAGCTGCACTACAACACCATGGACAAGAAGCACGAGGATGCTGGCGGAGTCGCCCAGATTGACAAGACGTCCGTGTTCCAAGAAGGTAGGGCGACTGTCACTGAGGCCATAGGCTGGTGGGGGGAAAGCTGACCTTGTCCAGCACGAGTATTCAACCAGAGCCCTATATCGCCCAGGAAATGTAGAGTGATCCTGACCAAGCTGGCCCTGCTGCTCTTCACCGGGGAGAGCTGGGGACGACAGGAAGCCACAACCCTCTTCTTTGGCATATCGAAGCTGTTCCAGAACAAGGATGCCTCGCTCCGCCAGATGGTCTACCTGGTCATCAAGGAGCTCGCTGGCTCCGCCGACGATGTCATCATGGTCACCTCCTCCATAATGAAGGACACATCCGTCGGCAGCGACGTCGTATACCGCCCCAACGCCATCCGCGCCCTCTGCCGCGTCATCGACGCCTCTACCGTGCAGGCCATCGAGCGTCTCGTCAAGACGTGCATAGTCGACAAGAACCCCTCCGTGTCCTCGGCCGCCCTCGTCTCGTCGTACCATCTTCTCCCAGTCGCCAAGGATGTCGTTCGAAGATGGCAGTCCGAGGCTGCGGAAGCTGCGTCTGGAAGCAAGTCGGGTGGAGGTTTCTTGGGAGGATTCGGAGGAGGCTCGCATAGCGCTCTGCAGGCCAGCACAAACTACATGACACAGTACCATGCAATTGGTCTCCTCTACCAAATGCGCTCCGGCGACAGGATGAGCTTGGTCAAGATGGTGCAGCAATACTCGGCTGCTGGCGTCGTCAAGAGCCCTGCTGCTACCGTCTTGCTGGTCAGACTGGCTGCTAAGCTCGCTGAAGAGGACCCGAACCTACGCAAGGTAAATCTTAGTCGCTTCATAGGGAAAGACTTACTAACACCCATCGCAGCCCATGATGCAACTTCTCGACGGCTGGTTGCGCCACAAGTCGGAAATGGTCAACTTCGAAGCTGCAAAGGCCATCTGCGACATGCGCGATGTCACCGATGCCGAACTTGTACAAGCCGTTCACGTCCTCCAGCTCTTCCTCACGTCCCCTCGCTCCGTCACCAAGTTTGCCGCCCTTCGCATCTTGTCGCAAATGGCTTCCTTCAAGCCGGATGCTGTCCGATCATGCAACCAAGACATCGAATCGCTCATCACAAACTCGAACCGCAGTATCGCAACTTTCGCCATTACTACACTCCTCAAGACGGGCAACGAGTCTTCAGTTGACAGACTGATGAAGCAGATTACGGGCTTCATGGCTGAGATTACTGACGAGTTCAAAGTCACCATTGTAGAAGCTGTCCGAACCCTGGCACTGAAGTTCAAGGCGAAGCAGTCTGGATTCCTTGCTTTCCTCAGTGGCATCCTGCGCGACGAAGGTGGTTACGAGTTTAAGCGGTCTGTTGTGGAGGCCATCATGGATCTCATTCGCTTCGTACCCGAGGCCAAGGAAGATGCGCTTGCTACCCTGTGCGAGTTCATCGAAGATTGCGAGTTCACCAAGCTCGCCGTCAGGATTCTTTTCGTTCTTGGACGCGAGGGCCCCTCAACACCCCACCCCACCAAGTACATTCGCTACATCTACAACCGCGTAGTCTTGGAGAATGCCATCGTTAGGGCTGCCGCAACCTCTGCTCTTTCCAAGTTTGGCGTTGGGCAGAAGGACCCTGAAATCAAGAAGTCGGTCCACGTTCTCCTCACAAGATGTCTCGATGATGTTGATGACGAGGTCCGTGATCGAGCTGCGCTTAGCCTTCGTTTGATGGACCAGGAAGACGACGATATGGCTGTCAGCTTCATTCGCAACGACTCGATGTTCTCGCTCCCTGTACTAGAGCACCAGTTGGCTATGTACGTCAGCTCGGATTCCCGTGATACCTTCGAGACAGCCTTCGACATCACTAAGATCCCAACTGTCTCTCGTGAACAAGCAGATGCGGCGGATCTGACCAAGAAGACCGAAGGCGCTACTCCAACACTCAAAGCGCCCAGTGCGGCCAAAGCACCATCAAAGGCGGGTGCCGATGCCGCCGCAAGCGCAGCATCAAATGCTCAGAAATACGCTACAGAACTGCAAAAGATTCCAGAGTTGGCAGCGCACGGTGGTGTGCTCAAATCGAGCGACGTCGTCGAACTTACAGAATCCGAGACCGAATACGTCGTCACTGCCATTAAGCACATTTTCAAGGATCACATTGTCATCCAATATGACATCAAGAACACTCTTGAGGACACCGTATTGACAGATGTGGAGATGGTTGTCACACCAGAGGATGACGGGGACGTGCAATTAGAAGAAGAGTTCGTTATCCCAGCGCCCAAACTCGCCACCAACGAGCCTGGTACCGTTTACGTATCGTTCAAGCGCTTGGAGACCGAGTCGCAATTCATCGCCGCCAGCTTCACCAACGTACTCAAGTTCACAAGCAAGGAGATCGACCCAAGTACGAACGAACCAGAGGAAGGCGATGGATACCCAGACGAGTATCAGGTTGAGGATCTGTACCTCACCGGTGCTGACTACGTTGTTCCGGCATATGCAGGCAGCTTCGATAACGTTTGGGATCAGTCGAATGGCGATTCGGCAACCGAGACATTGCAGTTGGGTAACATGAAGAGCATATCAGGTACGTCATTAATGTTACAAGCTATCTCTAATGGCGAACACACGACTGACAGTTTACAGATGCAACTGAGCAACTTACCAAGACACTCTCCCTCCAACCTCTCGAAGGTACAGACGTCACTCTGTCAACTTCAACACATACACTCAAGCTTTACGGCAAGACCATCACAGGCGGCAAGGTTGCTGCGATGGTGCGGATGGCCTTCAGTGCTAAGACTGGTGTGACGATGAAGATTGATGTAAGGAGCGAGGAAGAGGGTGTCGCTGCATTGGTCGTAGGTAGCGTGGCGTAGGTGATGGCAGACCGAGATTTGTTTAGTAGCGTGTCTTGAAAGCGTAAAAGGTCAACGGGCTTCTTAGTAGAACTCTTGATATGCACAGCTCAATGATCATAAATGTTATATGTTGACGGGATCGACCAACAAGCGCCCTGAACTACTAAATCTCCTCTGCAATTCTCTACCTTGTAAGTGCTTCGATGGCCTTGTTCACGACACTCCGTATTTGTTTCCATCTCTTCATCAAGGTCTCCTTCTGGCCTTCCGCAAGCTCATGCTCATTTTCTTCGCCCAAATCCAGACCCTCAACTTCCTCCAAGGTATCCACTATCTCCCTCGAGTACTTGGTCAACACACCCGCCAGATACTTATTCAACCTCGCCTGATCCCTCGCTCCATCATCATCCCCAGACACAAACGCCGAATACCTCCTCGAATCCAGAACCAACATCCTAAGGACAGCCTGCGTCCTGTAACACACCGTCTCCTCTTTCCCTGCACCAAACAACGTGTAGTTGCCGTAGAACCCATCTTCTTTCAGCGCATCCACTTGCTGCTTGTCCAACAACGGGACCAAGACGTGATCCAAGGGCAAAGAGTCATGAACGTTTTGGTCCAAGATGAATCCGTATTCCACAAGGAGGAAGTCGTTTGTGTGGGGACCATATGTCACAAACACCTCTTCGCCAGCAGAGTATGGTCGATCGGCGGTTACGGAGTAGCCCTGGCTGTCGTGTTGGGGATGACACCCGTTGTCTGAGTGGTTGAAGTAGTCGATGAGCGGACACATGCAGTAGCAGTCGTCTGCGGTCAATTTCGGGCGCCGTTTAGGTAAGCGGGGGTGTGCGTTGGGCAGGTCGGGATACTCCCAGTAGAAAGTTCGAGTATTTACTATCAGCCAGGTGTACGTGTAGAGGGACTTGGTGATGGAAGGAGGTAGATGGGTGGAATGGGTGGCCCAGTCTTTTTCTAGGTTTGCACGCTGTTTGGCGAGGAGCGTTTTGCAGGCGGGTGGCAGGAGAGACTGGAGGGAAGACGGGTAGTGGATTGGCATGGTGGATTTGAAATCTTGCTGCGTGGGCCAGACGTCTTGCCAGAGGTGGTAGGAGTGCGGTTCCTGGCCACTATACCATAGGGATAGGGATGCTGCGAGTTTTCCGTGAACAGTGGTATTTTCCGGAAGCTTGAAGGCGTGGATGGAAGGTAGGGCGACATGAACGAGTGATTTGTTGGAGACGTGCACTAACTTGTCTCCTTTCTTGATGATTTAGTTGAGAGTTGAGTGGTGGATAATTCGAGAAGGGGGACTGACTTTGATGTCTTTTGCTGCTACGATACCCATTCCTCGTCCGCTGAAGCGTGCTGGAGCGATTCCATTTATTTCAACCCCATTCGACTTGGCCCAGTCGACAAACTGGGTGTGTTGTTCACCAGGGTCTAGTGCTGCAGTCATGGCTGCAGTGAAGAATTCTGAAACTTCCCAGCTTGATGTGCGAATACAATCTTGGAAATTGTCAGTGGTCAGATCTAGAGGGAACATTTTGACTGGAAGTACGGAATGCCATACTGAAGATTCCCAATAAAGTTTGCTGTACAACCAGTGTTCAGTCTGCCTAGGTACAAATTGCTTTATGCCGGATCAAGGTCTAAGCTGTTGAACAAGCAGCCTCAGTAATACGACGGTAGATGACAGTGGCAATTGCAAGTGTATGTTAGCTCATCGATGGCGTAGCAATGGATGGCGCAATTGTCTTTTTTCAGAAGTCAAAGAAAGAGTCATGATTGACATACTTTTGGTGTGGCTGGTGGCATGTGGCGTATCGATAAGATTGCATCATGTCATCAGCTCAGAACGATGCCAGCCAGCTTTCCTACGCCTCACCCAATTCTTCATAGACACGCGCAAATGGCAAGAAATGTGCGAATACATCAGCTCCAGAAGCTGACGTCGCACCCATCGTTCCAGGCGTCTTCGTTTGTACAGCCATCCCGCTGCTTTTCAGTCCTCAATCGCCCTCCGCCCAAGTATGAGGGCCACATACCACTAACACGCGTGGAAAGATTAGGGCTGGCAATAGGTTCAGGTCTTGGAAGCTTCTTGGACCCCCGGAGAGGAGGTGAGATGAGATCCAGAGATTTCACATCAGCGTGCGCTGCTTACACAAGTCAGATCTCATCGCATCCTTTGGTGAAGCGACTGCACAGCCCTACTTCATATACAAGCTTCGCGATCGCATGCTCCTGAACCCAACTGGCCGACGAATACTACGCGACCGACCGCGATTGACATCCACCTCGCTTGACATTCCCCGCCTTCGCAACCTACCGCCGAATACACTGGGCTATACGTATGCTGCATGGCTTGACCGCGAAGGCGTCTCTCCAGATACGCGGGCGGCAGTACAATACATAGATGACGAGGAGTGTGCATATGTCATGCAACGATATCGCGAGTGTCATGACTTCTACCACGCTCTGGTAGGACTACCCGTCTTCCGTGAGGGCGAAGTTGCTCTGAAAGCATTCGAATTCGCAAACACTGGCCTGCCCATGACTGGCTTGGCTGTATTCAGCGCCTTCACCTTGAAGAAGGCTGAATGGAGACGTTTCTGGGACGTCTATGGACCGTGGGCTACAAGGAACGGCGCACAAAGTGCCGACGTGATCAACATCTACTGGGAGGAAGAACTAGAAACAGACATTGACGACTTAAGAGCTAGGTTAGGCATTGAGAAGCCACCGGATCTACGAGCTATGCGCAAGGCTGAACGTGAAGCGCGCAAGAAAGAGAAAGAAGGCAAAGAAAACATGGCACGGGCTGCCGTATGAAGCAACATAAATGTACATTATCGTGTAATAACGAACTGACACACGTCGTAAATTTAGCCTGTCAATTGTGCAGGATAAATCTCATGCAGGTTACCCGCTCGAAGTAGGAGGCAACACAAGGATGCGGGGTCTCCACACGGGACGGAACCCGCAAGCCGGATCATCCACTCCGGACGGCCCTTTCCTATGAATGCGGCCCACTTACAACCATGCTTCTGGCCTGCTTCCTACAACAATATCCGATTAACGGGTGCTGTCATGGCTGAGAAACGGAAGCATGATGAATCGGTTGGATCAGACCAGTCACGACTACCACCAAATGATCGCCGCCCGTCCACAAGCCCAGTGGATGATAGTCTGGCTGTCGTCGAGAACTACCCCAGAAAACGTATAGCGATAGCCGTGGGTCGAAATTGCTTCTTACTTCGTTACCTGGATTACTCATAATTTTTAGTGCAACGTCTGTAGATTCCGGAAGACTCGCTGTGACGCTCAGAAACCGGTTAGTGAGACGCATCTGCTTTGAACGTACCGCTCATTAACAGTCATAGTCATGTGGTTTTTGTACTGAGCTTGGAATTGAATGTACTTATCGAAAACCAACAGTGGGTGACCGGACGAAACCAGTTGGTCCATCACCAGAAGCTTGGTCAAGCATTGAAAGACGACTGGCACAAGTCGAAGCCAGACTGGATTCTACACAGCAATGTGTACATGGATCCGCCGCGCTCTCTCCTAATACGTCTACTCATAGCGACATATACCCTCCACCGGAGCCTAGATCTCGACACTCAAGCGCCAATAGAATGGCCATCGAGATGGTCAACAATACCACCGTGTCCATTCCATCGGTCGGCACACCAGTGTCATATGATTTCGCTTACCGACAGACAAGCACCGAAGGCAAGACCCCAAGACCTAGTCTTACAACTTTCCGCGCGCCTCCATACATCCACGTAGAGAGTTGGGACTACACAGCTGACTTTTACGATGACGAGATCCTGGCTGGTGAACGACTAGCCGACCAATGTGATGCAGTCATGTTGCGTCCAGCGGACTTATCGCGACGAACTTGCCGGCGACTCCAACAGTCGTTTGTGGAGAACTTCCTTCGTTGGACACCAATCTTCGACCAACAAACGTGTATCAGCGCGCTTGAACAAGGAGACTTGGATAGTTTTGCATCATCCGATGCACCGACATGCCTAGCCTTTTTGATCTTGGCCCTTGGTGCTATCTCTGAAGATAGAAACAATAATTCAGACAACCTCACACCTGGACTGGAGTACTTTGCACGTGGCTCAAGAATTCTCGAGCATTTGTCGCTTCGTATCGGCAATCTGGCCACCCTTCAGTGTCGCATCCTGCAAGCTTCGTACTTCAAGTTTGCTATTAGGCCTTTACAGACATGGAATTCTATTACGCAAGCAGCGCGTGATTGCATGCATATCCTGTCATCCAGAATAATGCAGCGATACAATCCGTCCGATCAAGAAGCATTCAATCGAGCGTTTTGGGCATGTTCCACAATACTCCATGAGCTCGAGGCGACATGTAAGATGCATCCCATCGGACTGCGCCATTTCCACGAATTAGTTCCGCTTCCCCAGTTCGAAGAGGAAGATTCAGGCTTCTATTTCTTTCTAGCGCAAATTAGCCTCAGAAAGTTCCTGACACAGACCCTTGAAGTGGTTGGGTACTTTACAGGACAGGTCATATTTGCACCTGTTGTCATTGGCGAGTTGCGCAAACAAGTACGCGAATGGTACGACCATCTACCTTCAGTTGTCCAATTCCCCATCGATTCGACGCCGCTGTTTGACTCTAGAAAATCTTTCCTGCGGGTTCAGTATATCGCTTTACACGTAGTGCTTGGCTGGCCATCAGTGCTCAAGATACTGGAAGTTAGTGAAGAGGAGGCTGGCGCTCAAGATCACGAAACGATAGTGGTCACAAGGGATCACGCGCGACACTGCATAAAGAGTTCAGCCTTGCTTCTAAGTATAGCAGACGAGCAGCTCATGGGAAGGAAGATGGGAACGCACTTCACATTATATCCAACATTTGCGTGCTTTGCAACTCTCCTTATTGCATTCGACCACCCGGCTCTCGCCTTCATTGAAGAGACTAAGCAAGAGCAGCATATCCGGAACGGATACGATGTACTGCGACCATGGGCCCACCTTCCCCTCATTCGACGGGGACTGGAAAGGGCACGCATCTTAATGCAGCAGAACAATCTCGCGCACATATTCCACACATACGCGGATGAATTACCTCAAAATGCATCTGGTGTTAGTCCACCAGTAGCAACGAGTCACGACTGGAAATCTCCGCGTGCCGGGTTCACCATGAAACCATGATAGCCGCCTGGACCCTTAGATGGCATCTGAGTTCCCCTGTAGGATGACCGATCAGATTGCAGTACGGCACGAATGAGGGAATCCCACAGGCGCGAACCGTGCCGCAAAGACGTCATGCTAATCGGAAGATATGCACCATAGCCGTATACACGTTCGGCCCGAACCCTTGTCACAAACATCCAGTATGGCTGATTCCTTCGATTCTTTATCTGTTCCATCAGGGCGCCCTGCGGATGGATCCGAACAAATAGGATTGCTTCCAGACCACATGATGCCCATTGACTGCAGTCATATTCCGATGCAGCACCGTTGATCTACAGCCCAGGATCATCGCTATGTGCGGGACTCCTCGATCGCGCTTTCATTCCGCGTCTACGAACAAGCGACAGTGGAGATTCCCTGCAATTCCGTGCTTGAGCACCCATCATGGGCATTACTACGAGTATCTGGAGTTGGGTGCAAGACATGAGAATTAACGATTGAACAAAAGACCGTCCAACAAGTCTCACTGAATCAGGATCCGTGTTTTGTGCGTTGTGGAAATTGGCTAATGTACACTGCAAACTTGCAAAGAAGTAGACCACAATGATCGCGAATGACCAAACAAGACCAGGCCCTTGAGAAAGCCTGTGCTGTATAATGGCTTGTGTCGCTGCACATTATCTCCACTGGATACCAAGAAATTGCTCTCGAAACAATAAGGTCTGCAGCGCCGCTCGTTCCAGATTGCGTGGGTGTACGTTTGGTGGTGCTGCGTTGTGGCCTGAATACGAGAAGACCTACACCGAAACGAGCCATGCCATCGTGCAGCCTTACAATCACTAGGGTGTAGCGACCCTATCAAGCGTTTTGCGCTTATCGACTGTCAATCGACCGCTCAGGCGGGCGCTGCGGGTGTGACTTGAGTAAGGGTTGTCCTGGCTTGGAACCACTGCTGCTAGCATCACTTATGAGATGCAAAAGGTGCAACGGTCGCAAATCCAAGCTTTTACCGCGTCAATTGTACCACTTTGTTTACCATTTGTCTCAGCTGCCCATGCAGCGCTTTACTTCCTGACATCATCCTTCGATAGCCTATATCATTGGCGTACGATCCACTTTGCGGTCTGCCATGGGGCAAAACAGACAACCTGAACTCTACACAGCGGCGCTTATACCTTATGTAGCTGCTGCGATTGCACTAGTCTCTCGGCTGGCTTCTCGCCGTCAGACTAGGCATGCTTTGGTATGGGAAGATATTTTGGCTGTTATTGCCTTCTCCAATGGAAGCGCCTTTACCTTCATTAGCATGTACAGTACGTAGTATCGCACAGTCGAGCCAACTGAGCACTAACAATAGCAAGAGATG